GTACCTTGGGTTCAACGGAGTCAGAATGAACCCCGAGCCTCCTACGCTCAAACATATTATACTCTATTACATTCATCTTCCCGCTAGACAATGTAAATAAAGTTTTGTCTTAAATGTAAATTGCGGATAACAATGAAAGTGATAGCCTTCCGTTCCCACATCTTTGGAAGTCTTTCAGGTGGAAACAACCAAATGTTCAGGTGATAGGATTATCTAGAATCCCTAGCAATTATATTCAAGTACCCTTTTGGTCAGCAGATGGTTCTTGATGGCCTACTGCTGCTCCCACGCTATAGGTGACGATTGACGAAGTAACGTTCAGGAGATACTATTTACATATTATTGAAAGAATTATCTCTATGATAATTAAGCTCTTTGTAGAGAAAGGAGAATAGGTTAATTGGAGTGGAAGTTTGGTCGAGGCAGACTATAATTTCTTACATTATGAAAAATTATAAAGGCAATAAAATATACATGTATGTTGTCATTATCGGCTCTTCAGCTCAATTAACTGTATTTGTGAATACTGAAAGAATGGAAAAAGAATAAAGTCATTTTCTGCTTAATAATGTAACTTTTAATGCCAACTTGAGACTTAATTGTAGCACACAAAAACATACATATATCCCAGTCAAACTTATACCATCTGAGTATGTTTTTTCTTTTCTTTTTTTTGATGATTGTTATTATTATTTGACACATTTATATTCATCAAAATGAAATGAAATTATGCCAGACTACATTTCAAAAACACCTAACACTACTAAGGCATATTTTATGTCTCTGTTGACTCTTTAATGAAGATATGTCAAATCATATTTTTTTAAGGAATAGATAGTCCAAAATAAAAATACTGTCCTTATTCACGTATTATTTTTCCATACAGTGAAAATAAATTGTGGTCAGGGGCTGTCAACAAAATTATAAACGCAACACTTTTGTTTTTGTCCCCATTTTCATGAGCTGAACTCAAAGATCTAAGACTTTTTCTATGTACACAAAAGGCCTATTTCTCTGAAATATTGTTCACAAATCTGTCTAAATCTGTGTTAGTGAGCACTTCTCCTTTGCCGAGATAATCCATCCACCTCACAGGTGTGGCATATCAAGATGCTGATTAGACAGCATGATTATTGCACAGGTGTGCCTTAGGATGGGCACAATAAAAGGCCACTCTAAAATGTGCAGTCTTTGAGTTGCGTTTATAATTTTGTTCAGTGTATGACAAAAACCATAAAACAAAAAAAACAAAAAAAAACATAAAAGTCCAGCAGCAATCCATAGCTTCATAAGACTTGAAATATAGATCATGGGACGTATGGACTACTTTTATGGTGGCTGGCCTAGCCATTGGTTCGTTTTTTAATACACTGCACAAACCACTGGCCGTGCAGTTTCACTGTGTGAATGAAGAAGACAGCCTAGTTTACTTGGCCAGCCAGGCCCATCGGGGTCATTTACAGCTCTTTGGGACCATGTTTGAAGTCAGATGGGGGAGATAATAGTGGGGCTGGTTAGAATCTCCTTGACGGCAAGGAACCATTTGGCAATTTAAAACCCCTATACAAACGTAAAGTCTCTGACCAGAACTGTAATTTATATGCAAATGTCAAAAGGCTAAAAGGGGTCTCTTAAGCCATAAACACCCAAAGATCATGCATGATTCTACGCAGACGCTACATAAGCATTAGTTTGATATCTGTGTAAATACTAAATACAATGCCTGGTACTTTTTATGTAAAAATGGAAAATAATATTGAAAACAACTGCTTACCGGACTGCCAGTATCAATAGTTAAGGTACAAAAAAAGGGAATAATCATCAGTAAGACATTTATTAAACTATTTAGTAATCAAACTATCTGACTGTGAATTCAATACATTAATTGATCACTAAATAGTGATGAAATGTATTTTGAGTGGCTATCCTGAGTCTCACTTTCAGAATGTAATGCTGTATGTGTCACAATTTAGCCTAAGCCGAGGAGACCGGGAATGCACGATAATCTTCTTTTAATTCAATAATCCACTGGGTACACGGGACAGACAGGAGCATAGGGCACACATACACACACACACACACACACACACACACACACACACACACACAGGAAGACGTACAATCTCCGACAAAAAACAACTGAAAGGACTAGGGCAAGGAATGACTAATTAAAGGGAACACGGCACACCTGGGGAGGGAAAACACAACACAATGAGTCCAGAGGGGTATTGCACAAAAGCAAGATAAGGGATTAAGCTGGGATTTTCCAATTATCCTGGTTGAATTTAGCCCTGACTCAGTTGCATGAAAGCAGGTTAATTAAGCTAAATTATGTTGAAAGAGTCTTCCGGGACAGGTCAGACCCGTTGGCCTTTGCAGACGAATATCTGACTGAGAGGTACAGATTCTCAGGTGATGGCATCCGATATCTGTGTAGGCTGCTGGGTTCAAAGATACAACACAGAACAGTGCGAAGCCACGCTCTCACTGTCCCACAGATGGTCTGTGTGGCGCTGCGATTCTTAGAAAGTGGCATGTTCCTTTATGCGGTTGGAGATGCTGAAAACCTCAATAAAGGCACTATTTGCCGCAAGATAAGAAATGTTATTCTAGCACTGAAATCACTTGCACACATATTCATCACCTTACCTGGCCACAGAAGATTCCACCACATCAAGGAGGAGTTCTACAAGATTGCAGGTAACACTAATTACAGATTACAACAAAAAAGTGTTACATTAGCACAGTCACAGTAGGAAACTCATTTTTTACAGCTTTCCCTAATGTCATTGGTGCAGTGGATTGCACCCATATCCGTATCAAACGGCCCTCAGGGGCACATGAGGGAGATTATGTTAACAGGAAATCTTTCCACAGTATCAATGTTCAGGTAAGAATGATTTATGGTTACTGTCAGCTACATAATATTTTGCTGTCATCACTTGTCAGCTTGGGAGCTTTTGAGAGAAAAAATAACGATGATTAATACATTGTGCAGTCATGGTTGCAGTGTGAACTGAAATCACTTACTTCTCTCTCTCTAGTTTCTGGATTCTGTAAAACACCTATCAATTAGCACGGCGGTATTTGTGCATAATGTAGGTTTACTTTAGGCAATACTCACTATGTTACTCGGCTGCTTATCAGGCTGCACAGTGTCTGGATCCTGTTAAAAATACATGTTCTATTAGAATCACATTGCTGACTACTTATCCATTATGGACTAAAAATGTACACAAAATTGACATGACACCTCAAGCCTTCTGGAGTCCAGCGACACCGTCTCATCATCGGCAGAAGTGCACTCCACTGCTGCAGATGTGCCTTCCCTCTGCCATATTCAACATAACTTGTATTGATAGTTTTGACAGGATGTGCCAAGCCTACGATTTTAATAAAGAGTACTCACCGGCGGATCATAGTCTGGTGGCTCCAGAAGTGTATGTGTGTTACCAGACACTGTAAGGGAAGGCAAAGTCAGACAGTCCACATAAAAAAATCTAAATATTTGATTGTTTTCCATG